GTGAGAAGGGGAATGTCAGGCCCTGGTCCCACGAGATCGGCTGGAAACTGCTGAAGAGTCTGACCTTGAAACATTCTGGAAGTTCAGTCTTGACAACTGGATTCACTATGGAGGTGATTAAGAAAATCTGAGTCACTGTCCTATCCATCTGATCCATTTCCTGCAAGGAAACGGATCAGTTTGTGAGAGAATGTTAAACTTGAGGCTTGGTTCCTAGCCAACAAAACGAACGCTCAGTGCATCCACCAAACGCATGGCAGCTTCGTTCAATGCCATGTACTTCCGCTCAGCTTTGGCGAAGGCTGAAGGCCTCCGTGATGGTGCCAGTTTGGGTGGATCCAAAATGATCACATCATACTCCTGCTTCCTGGGGGGCTGGAAGCCGGCTTGGAAGGCTTCAAGAAAAAGAAACTGAAGAAGACCCACAAGACCTCAGCACCTCGTCCTTTTTGCTCTACTCCTGTGATTGCTTTCGTTTGCTTCTTTGGAGTTGCTGGTGTTCAATCGCATTGTGCTTGGGAGAAATTCAATCGCATTAGGTCAATCTATGCCATATATCACATATGTCCTTTCTTGCAGGCGTTACAGCCAGGCGAGTTTCTCTTCTGCAGCTCTTTCCATGAAGGAAGCCACATCCGACTGCTCCAGTTTGAGCGAATCAAATCCATTCAGTTGTGCATTGCGCTCTGCCATCTGCAAAGCCTCTGCAGAAGAGTCAACAGCTGTTACAGAGGAAGCACCACCTGCCAAAGCCGCCAATGCAAAGGCACCATGATAGCAGCAGAGGTCAAGGACCCTTGGAGCCTCTTGACGTGACACCAAGGATCGAATCAGCTTCCGATTCTCCCTCTGATCCAAATACAACCCCGTCTTTTGCCCTCCTGCCGGGCGCACCCAACACCGGAGGCCCGCTTCCACCACCACGAACTCGGTGTCCTCCTCTTCGTCTTCCGCGTCGCTGTCCGTCTCCCTCTTCGTCCACCCGTCCTGGTGCAGATGCGCCGAGCTGCGGCGCCACACCACGCGGTCCACGGCGAGTCCCACCCGGCGCAGCGCCGCTTCCACGGTGGAGCGGTGCAGCTCCACCCAGGCGGCCGCGGCACGGATCACCGCCACCGAGCCGTAGACGTCGATGATCAGTCCTGAGAGGTTGAGAAGTGTAGATGTGGAGACGAAGTATAAATCACTATAGTAAAAGAAAATGCTTTAAACAGATCTAGAACTATCGGCCTTATGACTGATTCGACCTAACTGCCAATGTCTTGCACAGCTCTCAGTCCTGAGAGGTTGTCACCTTCCCCGTTGACCAGTCGATATGCCTCATCCACCCCTGCCTTCGGCAGGCCCAGCAATCGCCGCGTTCGGATGGCCATCTCTAGCCGCTGTTGCAAAATGTCCAGCAAGTCTGGCTGCCTCAGACTAGAGAACACTCAGGCGTGGCGAGGGCGAGGGGCCTGGAACATGTATGTTCTTACAATGCTTCTAACACTTCTAAGCGATACATAAGTAGAGAGAGAGAGAGAAAAGCCAATCTTTGCGGGATTCGGCACCCGTTCGTTTCGTGTGTTTTTGGTCGACTCTGCTTTCCACGCATTCGAGTTGCTTCTGGGGTCTTGTGGTGTGCCGCTCTCACAGGTGGCACAGCAATTTCCAAAGTTCGTTCATCCTTGTTCCTAGTAGCGATGCCAGGAGCTCCTAGTAGCGTCCTTTGCTCCTAGTAGCGATGCCAGGAGCTCCTAGTAGCGTCCTTTG